GCCTTTTCTTTTCCTGTAATGCTCTTCTTACTGGACTTCCTAAGAAAACAGTACATTCCTTACAACTCTTACAAAATGCAGCAGCAAGGATCCTAACAAAAATGAAAAAGAGAGCTCAATTCACCACCTTATTTGAAAGCCTGCACTGGCTATCTGTATATTTCAGGATAGATTTTAAAGTTCTGCTACTAGTTTTTAAGGCTCTGAATGACCATAAAGCACCCGCTTACATCACAGAATGCCTATCTGTTTATGTTCCCACACGTGAGCTTAGATCTGCAGATACTCGCCTTCTGCAAATACCTTCCAAAACATACAGAAACGTGGAGAGGCCTCTTTGGGTTATTTAGCTTCTAAAGTGTGGATCTCAATTCCACCTTGTAGTAGACAGTCAAGCTCAGTGCTCACTTTAAAGAAACATTTAAAAACATCTCTTTAATTAAAATCTATATTTCTTTGGTATTTATTTTATTAATTTGATCTGTGTCATTGTCTTATAAAATGTTAAATGAATACTCATAGACTCAATACACTAAGACTGCCACTGGTATGAAAAGCCCTCTATAAATGATGATATTATTATTATTATTATTATTATTATTATTACGAGTAGTAGTAGTAGTAAATATGTATGTTATTGTTTTTCTTAGAAGTATACAGAGTGTGTGAATTACTGTGCCTTGAAGACATAAATGACTTTCTCTCTTTAACAGTCCTTTAAACCTCAATGGTAATGGGCAGAGCTTAACTGCTATAGGCTAAAAAATATTAATATATGAATGTGAATGTTTTAGTTATCATGATATCAAAAAAAAAAAAATAATTCAAAATAGGCTCTCTTTGCAGCTTAGTTTCCACACAAAGACCTAATAGACTGTGGGGGAGGATTGTTTTGTTTTTAAATGTTAGCAATGTATACATACTTAATCAAACTTTTTCATTTCAAGAAAGTAAGGAACAGTCAGTTTTCGATGAAATGGGCCCTTCAAGCTATGCTGAAATGATATCGAATGCATTTGTTTACAGATGTCTGTTGTATTTGTCATATTCAAACTTGTATTTGCACAGCAGCTTTAACTGTGAGCTGAACAGGAGAAACTGTGCGTGTCATTGCTGTGAATGTCGCAAGGGTGCAGAGGTTGTGTTGTACAATTTCAAGCTGACAAGGACAGGCCATTGATCTTTGAGCCGTTTGACTTTCAAGACCACGGTCAAGAAGTGGCTAATGCAGGTCCTGAAATGCCTTCGTCTCCTGGAATCCAATTACATAATCTGTGTCACATTGGATGAAGGAATGTGATTCACCTTCATGTGTGACTTAAAGGGCAAACTTGTCATTCACTTTGCTGGTTCTAGGTGTTCAAACCCTACTTTGCATTTCATTATATTACAGTCGGCCAGCAGGTTGGCATGTTAGGACAAAGTTTAGCAGCCTTCCATCCATTTATTGGTGAGATCAGTTAATGTTTGAACAGAAAACTCTGATAACTTCAAAAGGCTCTCAATAAGTAGTGACTGCCATTTATTATCTGGATACCTAAGAGACTTGTTTGTTTTGTACAAGATCTAAGAGCGAGGCTTATCTCGGAGATGCCGGAGAGCAGAGATATGTAGGAAGAGCTGTTAATAGGGGTGTTAAAGTATTATCTCTGTTTTAATTATCATGTAAAATTTCAGGGGGACATAATGCAGTAACACACACATACACACAATATTAATAACTCCTTTCTCTTGCATTTTTCTCGGTCAAAGTTCAATGCATATCCAAGAAGTGTTGCAGCAATGCAGCTCCACACCAGCTACTAGGGGCCTGGTACTTCAGACCTGCTGTAAGATACCCAAGGACGTTAACAACCAAAGTATTAAAGGGGCCAGACGTCTGTGCTCCTCCACTGATCAGATAAATGCTGTCAATTTTACTATGTTTTACTACCCATTCGTACACGAGTCATATGCAAAACTTTAAACATCCCCTGTCAAATTCTGTTTTGGTAAATTTTCTAAGTGAAAACATGATTTTAAATAATAACACATCCACTACAGGGAACAGACTCTTACTGCAATTTCTATTTATTTGCACAACATATTGAGAAAAAATAAAACACAAAACATAAAATGTGTCATAACTTTTGCACAGTCCACCTTTTAATGCTTTTTCCCCCAGTATGTTAAATTCAGCAAATAAATAGTCATTGTGCATCAAAATGTGCAGAGGTGTGTTCTATATAGCAAACTTATCTTTATTTAGAAAATCAACTAAACATGCTAATTTGACCAAGGGTGCCCAAACATTTGCATACAACTGTACATTGGGTCATTATATCTAACACATATTGACCTACAGATTGCCATGATAATATCAAAACATTTTTTTTACAGTAACAAAATAATAATAAATATTTTGTCAAATACGTGAACAAATTAGAAGAGATTTATAAAATCAGTGGGTTACTATCATATGTAGATGTTATGTAGATGTAGATGATGAAGAAATATGGGTACAATGACAAGATGACCTGATCATGGTGAGCAAGATTAGCCTAGCTACTGTATAGCAATGTAACTAAAGCATGTTAACCTTTTAAATGGCCAAGGTTTTATTACACACTTCCATAACCTAAGAATGCATCAGCGAGTTTGCATTAAAGTCCCTGTATTTACTGAATAATAAGCCTTAGTATGTAGTAAACCTGGAATGTTAAGGGGTTAAGATATAATCTCACATAAGCACTTGCTTATGAATGTACCAAAAAGTATCAAAAGTAAAAGTACTGTAGTAAATCTTATACATACATCATCATCCAAACCGCTTATCCTTCTGAGTCGCGGTGGGGTGCTGGAGCCTATCCCAGCTGTCATTGGGCGGAAGGCAGGATACACCCTGGACAGGTCACCAGTCCAACGCAGGGCAGACAAACACATTCACACACACACCTAGGGGCAATTCAGCATGTCCAATTGGCCTGACTGCATGTTTTTGGACTGTGGGAGGAAACCGGAGAAACCCGGAAGAAACCCATGCAGACACGGGGAGAACAGGCAAACTCCACACAGAAATCGACCCCAGTCGCCTGGCCGGGAATCGAACCCAAGGCCATTTTTGCTGTGAGGCGACAGCGCTACCCACTGCGCCACCGTGCCGCCCTGTAGTAAATCTTGAATAATATTATTTTGATGAACTTGTATTAAGGAGACCTGTGTGGAAGCAGACATGGAAGATACTTAAGTACATTCATACACAGTACTTTTGTACTTTTACTCAAGTAGATAGAATACCCTTAGATAGAGTCCCTTTATTGACGTCATATTTTACCAAGATTATTTTTTACTTTTATTGAAGTACTTTTACACTTTGTCTACTTACTTCTTTATAAGGCAAATTTAGTGGCAATCTACTGGCCTAAAATAAGTATTGTTAGCTAACATTAACTCCTTCATGAAATGCCTCAGTTGTGCACCTGTGTTTCTTTTCTTCAAGAGCAATGATGGAATATATTTTAATGGAAATGTATGTGACTTCCAAAACTAGAAACACTATTTCAAGTAAGTCATTGTTTATAAAAATGTTTGTATTGTGTTTAATTGTGATTCTTTGTGTAGCAGATCATGCTTTGTTGCAATTGTGCTTTTCGTTTTATCTCAGCCTGGCTGTCTTTGTGGTGTTTTCACAGTATCAGGTTCCTGATCCTACCCTTTCATTCTTCTTTGCTCGCTAGCAGCTCAATACAGGGTTATAGTGTACCCTATATTGAGAGCCAAAAGTGTCTTAGTTAACCTGATAACAGAAATATGGGGAACAAAATTATTTGATTACATTAAATGATCCAAATCTGCCAACAGGCCTGCAGAAATAGCTACTATTTGCTTATTAGGATCGATGAGGGGCTAAATTTCACATACTATGTACAAGCCATATATGTGAAGCTCTTCTCTATTGCATGTTTTGAATGAGTATATGCACTTAAAGGTAATGGAATGGAAATTTCAGGGATTTGGAGACCCCTTCCCCCAGTGGATGAATCTGGTGATTGTGAGGGCATTGAAAGAGTATTCAAAGAGAACTCAAGTCAAATCCCAAGTCAAAACTTGGTGAAGGACGTGTCTTCTGAGGATGTAAGTCGGTTATCTACCACTGTCATCATATCTCCATAATGTTGATTTTGCATTTAAAACCTAAACATCGAGCCAGACCTTCTTTTTAAGCCTGTATGTGTGATGTTAACATGTAAAGATGTGTAACATGGTCCGAAAAACTCCTGCACAATCTGACCCGACACCTCTGGCTTTTAAATAACTATTCTAGGCTTTACAGAGTGACGCAAAGCAGTGCATGGATGCCATATTTTAGTGTGTTTTCTGTTCTCCTTACCCAGTAATGCTACTTCTTTCAGTTTTAACAAAACCATCTTTCATAGTGCAGCTTTGAAAGTAATTTTCTTGTGGGTACATGGCATATACTTGCATATTACATAGACTGCATCTCTGGTTGCTAGCATCCCGAGATGTGCATGTAAGAGTTAAATCAGCCTTCAGATGCTTTTTCCATCAATTAATCAGCATGTTGCTCAGTACACTGTACATTTTTCTCCATTGCAATCCCAGATTTACCTTTCCATTTTCACACACACTCAAACTGACTGCTAGGTCACTTTGTTTTGACAGCTGTAGTCATTTAGACTTGTAGAGGAACCAGTCATTAGCGTTTTTTTAGCCTTATGAACACTGAAGGTCAGAACTTGACTTACTGTTAAATATTAGTCACTAACAAAGTGAGCATGTCAGGATGGTGTTAGGGCTTTATGGAGTGTTTACAGCTCCAAGGAAGTGATGGAGTAGGCTCAGGAATAGCTCTGGCGTTTGTCCCGAATGTTCTCCTTCTAATGGTGTTGGCTCCTTCTAAACACCAGAGACTCTTCCAAGCAATGTCCATGTTGAGCTGATGAAATAAAATGAACACAAGCCCTTCCTCCATTAGGAAGGGCTAAAATGGATAACATCACTTCTTGGCAGTCTTGGCCTCTCCTTTTTGCTGTTGCTGGAGTTCCCTTGGGAAGATTTCAGTTTAAAGCATCTAGCAGCTCACTCTCTGTAAAGCAGACTGGGATGTTGTTTAGGAAAATGCTCTTTAACTGAACAAACAGAAAAAAATTTTTGAGTTAACCATAACTGTGACTTGGAGCTGCAAATTACATATCACCTCTGGAGCCAGATAAAGAACATCTGGACAGCAAACACTCCACAGAGAGGCTTAAAGAAGAGCAGACGGCAGTGTGAGCAGTCAGAGGTTTCTCAGCGTTTGAGTCCATGATGAAGTCAGCCCTCGCTCTCCAGGCACTGCCCGTGCTGTTGCTGCTGGCCGGTGCGGCCCGTGCCCAGCCCAACTACATCCACGAGGAAGAGTGGGTCAACACATGGCGGCAGGGCTTTAACTTCCAGTGCCCACATGGCGAAGCATTAGTGGCCATCAGGAGCTACTTCAGTGAGACAGAGGGCTCGGACCGCCTGTGGAGTTTCGAGTGCCAGCCGACGCCCTCCAGCCTGGGGGAGCCCACCGAGTGCTGGTGGGATGATATCAATCGCGCTGGAATGGAGTGGTAAGTCTGCATGTTTGCTGCCCAGTTTTTTTTTATATGCTGAGACATCAAGCATAATGTACAATATGTGATATGCAACATCTGTGTGTTAGGCAGGGGACAGTCTTCAGTCTTAATGATACATCATGATAGAAAACCCAATGATAATCATACACCTTCATGTTTTATATGCAGCTGAAGTCAAAGTGGAAAGAAATAGTCTCACTGTGAAGCACATGCAAACACAGAGCATGTTTATAGTAAAGACCCCATATTCTAAACTTTTATTGTATTTTATATTTCCCTTTTCCCCACATTTTACCACTTTTTGTGGTTTTATGTAGCAGAAACACATGATCATTTTAAACCTTCTCTTTGTCTCTTAGTAGTAAACTGTAACTGTAACTGTTACTGTGTCTTTAACACTGAAATATGTAAATGGCCTCTATTCTGATTGACTGGCCTGTGTCACGCCTTGTTCAAAAATCTGTCCAGGCTGAAATACTTTTTATAACTTCAGTGTGAATGGGCTAGACTGAATGTATTTTTTTGAAAAATTGAATGTTTTTTGTGACATCTTAAAAACAGTGAGTTCAAAACTGGCTTAAATTATATATATGAACTGGACAAGAGAGTGAATGGTACATTTAGAAACATACTACTATGTACTAAACTACATGGACCACAATTCTAACCAGCTGAGTTATTCCAAAGCTACAAAGGGGTATATAAGATGTTTGGACCCACTAACAGATTCTGGTCACTTAAGAGGTGAAACTGTAATGGATTTTTGGTCTTATGAAGAAATAGAAGAAGTTCAATGAACGCAGTATAATATAATGAGTTTGGGGAAATGATTGTGTATCAATGTTTTTTAGCCATTTTCAGTATATCTACTGAACAGTACTATGATAACAGTGAAAACAGTGATCATTTTGGTCACTGACATCATCATAGCAAATTTTCTTACCATCCCAGCCCTAGTATGTGTGTGTGTGTGTGTGTGTGTGTGTGTTTCATGGGGACACACACTGCAGAAGAGCATAAGGTGGCCTGCAAGCTCGGCTGCTATGATTGAGTAGAGTGTTCTGAGCAGAACATTATCTCTGTCCCAGTCTCCCACACCAGATGCTCAAAGCAGGTGGAGAATTACAGCAAACTGCAAACCAGTCAGGCAAAATACCACTTACCGAACTAATGTAAAATAAGAAAGCTTAGATTTCAGTACTCAGATTTGAAAGAACAAAACCCAAACCTATTGCCATGCATGTACAGTACTGTGCAAATGTCAGAGACCACCCATAATTTTTTTTATTCTAGTCAAATGGCCATTCAGTATATTTTAGAAGATATTTTTAAGGAGATTAAGCTAATCCACTCACATAAAGAATGAGAAAGTCAAAGGAATAGGTGAAAAAACAGGAGTTTGCAAAACTGAAGTTAAAAAAAAATGATAAAAAGAAAATGAGGCTCCTAACAAATGTGTAAGACCTGGTAGACCACCAAAACTGTCACTATCAGACAGTAATTAAAGCAATAAAAGGAGATAATCAAGCTCCACTCTTGCTTCAGATCTGAAAAAATCTACAGGTGTTTCTGTCCATCCTTCCACTGTGAGAAAACAACTCAGCACTATGGGTCTGAAAGGATGTGTAGCTCTTAAGAAGCCATTACTGAGAAAAAGAAACTAAACAGAGAAGCTGCTGATGTTCTGAGAACAATAGATTGACCACCTCAGAGTCCAGGCCTCAACATCACTGAATGTGTTTGGGATTAGTTGGATCATGAAAAGCATGAATGTTCAACCAACTTCTAAGACTGAACTTTGGAGATGTAGAAAAATATCTCTATAGATTTTTTGAAAAACTCAAAACAAGTGTCCCAGAAAGAATGGAAGCTGTATTAAAGGCAAAGAATAGACACACAAGATACTTTTTACTGATGACAACATGTATTTAATGGCCATATTGCCTGGAAAGTAAACACTAAATGAAGGTCTGTCTCTGACTTTTGCACAGTACTGTATTTTAGTTATGCACAGATGCAAGAAAGTTACAAATGACAGTCTGAACTCATAGCTTTAAAAATAAACCCTCCAAATCCAACAAATGGATAGAGTCATTATTTGGCAGTATGCACTGCCTGCTCTTGATCAAGTATTATTCAGTCCGACTCAGCCTGTAAAAAAAAGTCTTAGACAGTGTTTGGAAAAATCTTCCTTGACTAAACAAAATAAAGTTAGTTAACTATAACTGTGCCTTAGTACTCTAAATTACATATCATCTCTGGGGCCAGATGCGGAACATCTGGAGAGCAAATACTCCTTGAAGGCAAGCAGCTGACTAGGCATGCAGTATTTCATAGATGAAACAGACTGAACAGGCAGCTCTTTTCATCAGGTGTTCACACGTCATGAGGCCTCATCAACACAAACAGCAGGCCGCTGATTACCTGTTGCACAAACATCCTCGTATGTGCACGGCGTATGTTTGTGGAATGTGCAGAAAATGAATTTTCCTATGCTTATATGCTGTATTTATATCCATTGAACACGTTATATATCTCATGCTTACTAATGCTCTATTTTCCCCCAATTTAATGTTGCAGGATTCAAGTCTCTTGTGCTTTAGTGAAAGCACATAAGTGAAAAACTGCAATAAAATGTCACTGCACCACTGTTTACGGAGCTGGGTGGTTGCTGTGGTAACATCAGAATAATTTGTTTACCATGGAAGGAAAAAAAAGTTGAAAGCCAACAAGACTGGGCCGAGAAGAGACAAACAGACATTTTTGTTGAGCCAGAACTTCCACGTGTCATTTAAGTTAGCCTCAGTTTTAGCGCTCAGTGAACCACTGGCAATAGAAAAATAGTTTAAGGGGCTTGTTCAATGCCCAAAAAGCACCTTTTATGAGTAGACAACAGGCTTGTACATCAGATGAGCCTCTGCAAAAGTATGCAAATCTCCATAGACTCTTAAAGGAAATGGGCTCCATGTCCTTAAGCTTGTCCAGCAAGCTTGTCCAGTTCCTTCTTTGTGTCTGGTAGAATCCTTTAAGGTCTACTGGGAGATTTTTAAATCCTAAACCAACTGAGAGAACTTTCATGCCACATCATCCTTTCTTCACCAATTTGGTATTTATGTTCAAAATTGCAATGGCATAAAAAACTCTTAAAGATAAAGATGCTAAAATGATGCAATAAAAGAACTACTTTTGGTTTCCCAAAGAACCTTGTAATGGATGCTCTTTAAAGAATAATTTTTAAATGAGATGTGCAAGTGGGAAGAATATTTTTAAAGTTTAATGAACCTCTAGATAATGTTTGAAGGGTTCTACACCAGCTAAAGGTTTTTGTATGAACTAGAACTGCATGTCCAAACCAAGAACCATTATTTTTAATGGTACAAGAGGTCAGGAACATTAAGTGTCACAGCTCAGAGATATGTTGTAAAAGGGTCTTTTGCAGTTCTCACAGATTTTAGGGAGTGTGCAGAGACAACACAATACGGCTCATGCTGCAGTTCCCAGGATCCACTAAACTGACAGTTTGGCAAAAAAATCAAATGTACTCAATTTTCGTCTTAACCCAAATGTAGTCCATCAGCAAAGTCGTGTTCGGTGTCTGAAGTTTACTTCTTTTGTTTTGTACTTGCTCTACAGGGCTTTTGTAACTGACAAGCAATGGACAAAATTCAGACTTCAGTGGCTGCTACTACTGTTTTCGCTTTGTGAGGTGCTTTTGGCCAATTTAATAGATAACATCATGAGTCTGTTTAGACCTTGCATTAACATGTGTTCGTGTCCAGATCGTAACTTGTCCTGGACGAACTTTGGCCAGACTCCATTTATACTTTTCATTAAAATGCGTCCCCAGTGTGACCAGATGAGATCTGGCTGTACTTTTCTCGCATAAAAAGGACATCAACACATGCACTGTTTTTGTTTTACTTTTGTTTGCTCTTTTCTCCATTACTATAAGAATGGATAAGCTTGGTCTGGACATGTTCATTGGCCAGGACTGCATGAAGGCTCTTGCTTTGGAGCTAACTAATTGTCCCATATCCTCAGTCTTTTGGTTTATTGTTTATTCTCCCACCTGCTTATCTACTGTTACCTATAACTATTGTTTATTCTCTCACCTGCATAACGAAAACGTATTCCGTTTACACTTGTGTTAAATGCAATCAAGATCCGTCTCTAATCACTTCCGAATGTGGTTTGAGTGATGTAATTGTACTCTGCTCACAATGCATCCTGGGGGGTGTTAACACCTGACTCTGATACTCAAAAACGCATTTTAATGCGAGGTGTAATCAAGGCCCAAAGTCATACTGGGTCAAAAACCACAAGAACAAGTTTCAGATTACTTAACCTCTTAAAATAACAGGCTTCTTACGTACTAAGACTTATTATCCAGTAACTACAGGGACTTCAATGCAAGCTGGCTGAGCTATTCTTAGGTTATGGAAGTGTGTAATAAAACTTTTGGCTCATCAGTGGGACCTGGCCATTTAAGGGGTTAACAACTCAGCATGGTTAGAGACATGTAGTTTGCACAATGCTAACTGTGCAAACTGGATACATGAATCATCTGTAGGCTACCTGCCTCAAGAGTTATTAAGGTATCTGAAAAAGACTTGCTTTTGTCGTTCGTGACATCTTGAATTATGTCCATGCTTTTATTTACTTTTTCTAATGGCTTTAAAGACTAAAAGGACAAAAAGCTGGTGTGTACATCTTCGAATGGCCAGATGAGACTCAGGTAACACTTCCTGTTGGTAAGAAGTAAGGGATTATAAGAACTGTAGTCTAACAGCAGGCTTTCATTCCTCCAGCCTCCAACAATCTGCATGGAACATCTTTAGCTAATTTCAGATGATATGTTGTTGTTCTAGAGAGTGGATAACAAAGTTGTCTTTAAGAGAGAGACTGCACGGCGGCCCAGTCTAGCATAAACACAGCTTAACTACAGGACTAACATGTGCTCTGTAAGTTACAAGATGATTTCTTTCTAAACTCAG